TCTAAACAAGCGACCACCCAGCCCGAGGGCCTTATTCATGGTGGGTTTTGGTCTTCCCCATAATATATATAACTTAACATTCATCTTCATTTCCTCATGATGACATTCTTACTTTATTTATTTGAATTGTACTATATTTATTGGAACAAAAATCAATATTCAGTTTCAATAATCGATTTGATTCAGTCAATTTGACTCATAACATGGTCATTCGAGATGCAACAAAAGTTATGTCATATTTTTGGACGATTTTTACAAATGATAAAAAAATGGTCCAATAAATATGTACATTAACCTAATTCACTAAGCCGGTTGATCCAAATAAATTTCATTTTTTTATCGTAAATATAATTGATTTTATGAAATAATAAATAATTTGTGATTCATATATTAAATGTTTATAACAAATGACCATATATTATGACTCCAAATTATATTACAGAAGACAAATTAACTGTTTATTACTTATATATATTTATAAAATATTAAATATATATTTTTTTAAAAAATTAAAATTAATTAATTGATTATGTAATTGACTGATGACTTGATACGAAAATGGGTCTGAACAAAGCAGTGATATAATGCATATTTATTAAATTTTTGTAGTATGTTAGTCATACGTCATCAAATATCATAAACGTTCGATCTTCTAATGAATAAAGTGCAATAAAGATAAATTATATACATATTTTATATCTTGAAACAAAATTCAATAAAATTATATCTATATATATAATTGGGTGTAATAATAATAATATTAATAATAATAATAATAGATATTATTATTATTATTATTATTATTATTATTATTATTAATATTATTATTATTATTATTATTATTATTATTATTATATATTGTAACAATCTTTTGTAATTCAGCTTGAGTAATTTTGCTATACAATAATAATTATAAATAAAATAAACTTTTAAACTATCTATGTCAGGTAGAAATAAACAATATTGATTGAAAATTCAAAAAAAGTTATTTTCTTTCGGTTTTCCGAAAACATTGGGATGATATGTCTACGAAATTCGGTGGGAAAACAATGCTCCTGCTTTTGAGAATTTAAAAGAGAAAAGGCAATTATGAAATGGACACATAAAGAATATTTAAATTGTGTTTGTAATAAAGTTATAAATATTTTGTTACCTTTTACATGAATTCATATTAAACCGAGATTTCAAAATAAATTTTAATATAAAATTTTTCTATTTAATTGAGCATCACATGTTTCTTTCGACGGAATTCATTTGAATTTTGTTTTGTAATGCAAAATTAAAGAGACAGAAATTATAAAAATTCTTTTACTATTTCAAAATAAATAAATAATAAACATTAATTAGCAAGTCGGGATACATATCCGATTTTTTTACCAAGTCAAATACTTCCTGACTTTTTGAATATATATATATATATATATATATATATATATATATATATATATGTGTATAAAGTTACTCGAAATATCATGTAATTAATGTTGGCAGATTTTTTACTTACTATTTTTAATAAATGTTAATTCTTATTATATATATATAGATTGAAAAAATTGCACTATTCATCCACTAACTATACCTTCGTTGCACTTTCATCCTTTAATTGTTTCCGGTTTACAATTGGTACACTAACTTTTTTTTTGGTAATTTTAGTTCAAAATGACAATTCGGTGCTCATTTTCGCCGGAATAGCTGATGTGGCGCCCAGTCAGATCGAAATTTCCATTCTCGGTGTGATGTGGCACGAGGTGGCGCCTAGTCAGATCGAAATTTCCATTCTCGGCGTGATGTGGCACGAGGTGGTGCCTAGTCAGATCGAAAAAATTGCACTATTCGTACACTAACTTTACATTAGTTACACTTTTGTCCTTTAATTGTTCCCGGTTTACAAAATCAGAAAAAAATATTAAAAAAACAAAAGAAAAATAAAAAGCTTTAAAAAAAAAGAAAAAATCAAAAGAAATAGAAAAAAATATAATTTTTTTATTTAATATAAATTATTTTTTTAATTTAATAAACAATGAAATATTTAATGATTAAATAAAAACGAAATATTTAATAAAAACGAAATAACTTTATAATGAGTGATAAAATATTTTTTATTTAATGATTAAGTATTTAATACAAAAACGAAATTTAATAAAAAAAAGTAAAAATATTTTTTTATTAAATATTTAATTTTTCATTAAATATTTAACCATTAAATAAAAATATTTATTAAATATTTATTACTTATGAAAATATTTATTTCGTTTTATATTTCTTTTTTTATTAAGTATTTTTGTTTTTTTATTTAAATAAAAAATATTTTTTCATTAAACAAAAAAAAAAATATAAATATTTCTTTTTTATTAAAAATTTAACCATTAAATAAAAAATATTTATTTCTCATTAAAGATTTTTTTTTTGTTTTTCATTTCGTCTTTTATTAGTTATTTGGTTTTTAATTAAATAAAAAAATGTATTTTTATTTTAAAAAAATTATATTTTTTTAAATCATTAAACAAAATGATTTTTTTATTAATTAATATTCTTTTTTTCTTTGTTAAATTTTTTATCCACATGTCTTTTCTTTTACTTTTTAAAGCCTTTTTTTTTTAATTTTGATTTTCTTAATATTTTTTTTTTCTTCGGATTTTGTAATTCGGAAACAATTTAAAGGACGAAAGTGCAACGAATGTAAAGTTAGTGAACAAATAGTGCAATTTTCTGATCTGGCTAGGTGCCACCTCGTGCCACATCACGTCGAGAATGAATATTCCGATCTGACTGGGCGCCACATCAGCTATTCCGGCGAAAATGAGCACCAGAATGTCATTTTGGACTAAAATTACCAAAAAAAAAATAGTGTACCAATTGTAAACCGGAAACAATTAAAGGACAAAAGTACAACGATAGTATAGTTAGTGGACGAATAGTGCAATTTTTCCGAGTTAATTTGAAGTTTTAAACCACTACAAGAAAAACTGCATTTGGCGACGCTTATTAATGACGCTTATTGGCGAGTTGTGTTGCTAAATTTTATGTAAAAAAAAATAAGCGTCAGTAAACAAAAAAATAAGCGTTGCCAAATGCAGTTTTTCTTGTAGTGAACCAAATCTTTTTTTTTTAATATTATGCAAATGTTTACTTATTATTTTATGTGAGTAAGCAACAGACTTTTATTTTTCTTCAAATTTTGTGTTTTAAAACTTTAAATTAACTCTCAATTTAATGGTTTTATAAGTATTGTTAATTGTAGGACTTAATTTGATAGTTTTATAACATTTAGATCTCGAATTGAGAAAAAGAATCTTTTAAGCCCCAAATTATTAGTTTACCTATTTTTCGAGCCTTTTGAAATCTAAAATTCTATACATAAGAGTGATATACATACACAGGTTCTCTTCCACTTTGGTTTGAAATCGCAATTCCTATGCGTAAATTACGGTATACTTCGACTTGAAATGTCTTCCTCAAATTTGTGAAAGTCTTGATACGTATCTACCAATATCCAAACAACATGAATATATATATGCATGCTTGCTTCTCAAGCAAAATTAATAATATATTATATATGCTTTTCTTTTTCCTTCTGAATTTTACAAGTTCATCAGTTCAATCATGAAATTAATGATTTTTTGAATATTTTCACAAAGCACACAATAGCTTTAATTTTCGTCATGGATTACATGATGTTTTCAAGATTGTTCAATACTCTTTCATTACGTACTGTATTAAAATAAATGTTCAATACTCTTTAATTATTTTACGTACCCTAAAATAATTTAGGGTACGTAATTTTACATGACTGCTAGCAAAATCGCTAATTGTTTTAATTTAATTTCACTATATATGAAGCCATTTCCATAATAATAATTTTTTTTCTTCTTCTTCTTCTTACAAAAATAACCTCATATTTACCAAGTTCTTTATGAAATTGTTTGAATATGAACCAAATTAAATAGATAATAATTAATAATATCAAAATGAAATGATACATAAAACCACGACCAAACAATAAGCAAATAATGTAATCTTGACTCAGTATACATATTAGCCGCGTTACAGTGACATGTTGATCTTTTTTTTTTTTTTTTTTTTTTTTTTTTTTTTTTTTTTTTTTTTTTTTTTTTTTCAGTTTCTCCTCATTATGCTGTGTTTTCAGTCTCATACTATCGAAATTCAAAATCCACCCACCAAAAACACCCTTTTTCCATCATAATTCTTTTCTTAGTATGCCTTTTTTAATTATTTTATTTGAATAAGTTCCATTTTTCTTCTCTAAAATGTACTCAATTATTACTTTAAAGTAAGATAACCATTTTTTCCCAGACGCGTACACTATGTCAATATCAATCCGTTGGATATGACAATAGGATATATCAATGACTGTTCTATGCAATGCGCAAACCTCGCCGTGCAACCGTATTTCAGACGACAGATCTAACCGTTAAACAATTATATTTCAATGTCTTCTCGGCAAACAATTGTGCATGCACGCCTCCAAAATTAAAATGTTATAAGCGTATCGTTTTGTTCAAACAACATGATGAGTCAGGTCTGTCTAGACATTAAATAGTTTTACTTCAACATCTACACCTTTCAGGTAGAGATGTTAAACGAAACAAACCACTTGTGAGCTCGGCTTTGCTCGTTGTGGCACGAGCTCGGCGTGAATCATTTGATAAACGAGTCATGCTCGTCTTAGCTCTTGATAAGAAGATTTTTTTATATAATTTCTTATTGTTCAACTCGTTAAGGTTGAGCTCGACTATATTGATCAACGAGCCAAGCTCGAGTCGGACTCGAGTTGTTTACGCTCTTAGTTTCATGTACCACCTAATATTCATGGCATACTATAACTTTCATAACACACTTTAGATTAGTCAAAATAAACACTCAACACACTACCCTCCACATATATAAAAGCCACAAACCCTTCTCCAATTAATAGTCCTCACACAACAAATCCATCACACAACTCATCTAGTCAATCACCACACACACACACGCACACACACAAAAACCTAACTCTCCATGGCTCCAAAATCCAATACCCAAAACTCTACTCCAACAAATCCCTTTCTCACCACACTCCTCACAACCCTAATGCTCATCCTCTCACAAACCCCTACCCATCGAGCGGCAGACCCGGACCCATTGCAGGACTTCTGCGTAGCCTCCTCGACAACCGCGCCATTCCAGATCAACGGCTTCCCGTGCAAGAACCGCTCAGAAGTCACCTCGGACGATTTTTTCTTCCACGGATTCACCCACGGAGGCAACACGAGCAACCCCTTCGGAAGCAACATAACCTCGGGCAACGTGCTTTCTTTCCCGGGTCTCAACACGCTCGGGATATCCATGAACCGGGTCGATCTACGGGTCGGGGGGATCAACCCGCCCCACGTGCACCCTCGGGCCACGGAGACGGGCGTTGTCATCAAGGGGAAGGTGCTCGTTGGGTTTCTTTCGTCCGACAACAAGTTGTACATGAAGAACTTAAGCGAGTGGGATATGTTTGTGGCCCCGAGGGGTATGGTGCATTTTCAGATGAACGTCGGGAAGAGTAAGGCGACACTCGTCACGGCTTTCAACAGCCAGCTGCCCGGGGCCGTGGTGGTGTCGACGAACCTGTTCGGTTCGGAGCCGGCCGTGCCGGATATGGTATTGGAGAAGGGTTTTAGGGTTGGGAGGAAAGTGGTTGATGAGATTAAGTCTAAGTTTTGAGGTGGAGAGAGAGAGAGAGAGGTGAATTTTTCTTTTTCCTTTTTTATATATATGTAATTGAGATGTGTGCTTTGAATTTCCATGGTTTTATGTTCTAGTGAATTGATGATCAGTGGGTGCATTTGTTTGGTAGTAACATAGAGAAGTAAAACATGTTGTTTTTGTTGTTTGAAGTTCTTGATTTGTTTTGTGTTTCGTATCCTTTTATGAATGACGAGCTTTTTAAAGCTTCCAATGATCATTGGATTTATCTTTCCATTGCCACGCAGCTGAGAAATTCAATGTGTCATTAAAAATATGTAGAAATCGAAATTCAACGTGTCATTAAAAATATGTAGAAGTTTTTGAGATGTAAAAAATTTAAAAAACATATCTTTATTTTATATTATATTTTTTTATTTTATATCTCTTTTTTCACCAATAAATTATTATTTTACACGAGTCAAATTATTCTAACAATTAAAAATATTTTAATTTCTTCACACCGCACATATCAAAATAGACGATGTCCCGATGAAGATATTCTTTAATGCTCGGTGGCTTGGCGGGGCCCACTATGGTTGAACCGGGACTGAGAGAAATACAATTTAGGTTCTAAAAACCAGCAGGCCCGACTTGATTTTTTTTATTTAAGGGAAATTTTTATTTTTACACAGCGATTTGATAATAATTGCGACAGTACGAAGAGAGACCTTTTTATTGTAAACTTACTAATTTCATGGCATTTATTTGTGATATTGCAAGTATATCAGTTACCCAGACAAAATGGATCAACTATCTTTAAATTGTGGGAGTATTTATTGTTTGCCCTTTTTTGTTGGAAAAAAAAAAACCAAAATATATGGTAAGTGTATATATCCTAATATCTAGGAATATTGTTCAATTTTTGTGTTATTTATATCTCTTTTTTTTCTATAGTACTTATAGTATATTTTTTGGTTTAATACATACAAAATACACGATCAGGATTATATACAGAAGATATACAAAATATATACTCATTATATACAAACGACATAAATAAAATATACAACAGATATACAGAAATTTGATCATTATAAACAGAATATATACAGAAGATATACGAAGCACGAGCGATGAAAACATATATTGAACATATACTGCATATACACGCAACATATATTGAGTTTACGATAACTAAATATCATCCCATCAACAACGCCATTAAAAGCTCCATCAACTCCCAGTCCATACGCCCACTGTCCCTCTTCCCGCGCGGCCGCCATCTCCACCATCAACCTTCATCGTCGTACAACCTCGGAGAATACATCGACAACGCATGAAATCGTCTGATATGCCGCTAACTTTCGCGACCGAGAATTGTGCGAGGAGGGGAAGACGATGTAGTCCACCATCGAAAATTGTCGCTCGTCCACCATCAGTACTCTCGAGTAGCCAGCGGTGACGAAGAACTTGGCGAAGCCGCGGAATGCACCATCAGCACACTAGATTTCTTCCGGGAGCGGGTTATAGAGAGAGAGGGTTGAGGAGGAGAGAGAGAGAGATGAATGAGGAGAGAGAGAGAGAGAGAGAGAGATGAGGAGGAGAGAGAGACCGTATAATTATGGTACTTACCTATTCAAACCAACTTATAGTTTATATGTAAATAATATAATAAGTTTTAGTTAATTTGCTAATAAATATATAAGGGTTGTAAATGTGCAATAATGTTGTAAATGTTTAGTAAACTATGTAATTTGTCTTTTTTTTTTAAGATGGTAATATATTTTGAATTCGAATGACACGGGTCCGTTGGGCCCAGTCCATGACTTGAAACGGGGCACGAAGTTATTTTTCTTATTTTTTAAAAAATAATTTACATAATTGCTAATTTAAATTATTAAGTGAAAATTTGCTTTCTCGATTTCCAATTTCATAATGAGTGTTATAATTTGCCGCCCCATTATTACTACGTACTGCTCTCACTTGATAGTTGGATCCCTGATATTCTTTTCTAAGAAGTATCTATATATATAAAAAAAAAAAACAAATCATGCCGACCGACCGGCAAAACCGGTCGCAACAGCGCTAATGCAATTGTCTGTTGACCGCAATCGTGCACGGCCGCAATCGCCGGTTGCCGGCAACCGTGGCGTGCACTGCCGCAATTGGTAGGCCGCACAATTTTTTTCTTTTTACTAATCAAATTTTATTTATTGTATAAATTAAGTTATAATTTAGATATTATTATGTTATAAATTAAAATTTGTTATCTTATAATTATAATTTAAAAATTATATTATTTATTATAATTCATTATCTTATAAAATTTTATTATTATTATTATTATTATTATTATTATTATTATTATTATTATTATTATTATTATGTTAGAACTCAGAAGTTATTATGTTATATAACATAATACTAATTATCTGTAACAAAATACTAATTATTTGTAAAATAAAAAAAAATTAATGTAACATTTATAATTCTTGTCTACTAACAACAATATACAATAAATAATATAACGATTTATAGTTATATTTTAAAATAATACTTTTTCCAAAAAATAAAAATTTATTTATAATATTAATTAAATTTTGAATAATGTAAAAAATATTTTAAAAGATAATCAATTCTAATTTATAACATAATAATTTCTAGATTCTATAATAATAATAATAATAAATAAAAATTTAATTTGTAAACTACCGGCCAACCATTTTTTTTTTTTTCTTTTAGTGTGTTGGGAAATTGTCAGAAGCAAAACGGTCTAAGGAGGACGGTGGATATAGTAAAGAAGGGACGGTGTTTAGCAATTCACTTTCATAATTAAGGCCCGGAATTGGCTCGGGACGGTCAAAACATGGCCCGGGTTCCAGTGCGGGCATGAAGCCTGTGGCGAACGGGTATGACAGTATGAGTGTACGACCCATTAATCAACGGGCTAAGCCCAGTCTGCATCCAACGAAATAAATCTGAAATAATGACACTGTGTGTCCCTCTAGAATAAACATTTACAACAAGGTAACTGATTACATACTAACACAAAATTACCTTTTTCTGTTTTCAATTTTACTCTTTTCAAGGATCATTTTATTGTTGTTTTTGTTTGGCAGTTATTTTAAAACTAATATTTTTAAAATATTTTTTCATATTATTTTATATATTTAATTTACAGCAGTTTTTCACCAAATCTTTTATTATGTCACGTCTTTGATATAAAAATTTTAATCTTTTTCTCCTCTTTCATTTTTTTCCTTCTTTTCTCCCATGAATTCTCTAATTTTCATAGCAGATACAAAATAATTTATGACCCATCTTGTAATCTTTCCACTTCTCTTTCTCCTTCCCCAATTTCTTCTATCTTGTTTTCTTGCAGGTCTCCAGAGGTCCGGATCTATGAAGTGGTGCCCTGCTCGTGACTGAGGGCGACATGCCCTTCTCCAGCGTGAGACGGTGCGACGATCGGCGACTAGAATTGACGGAGAAGACATATTTGACTTTTGGGATTCGCGACGGCAATCGAGAAGGGGAAGCCTTCAAATAGATCCTTAATGTCCAGTGAAGACGGGTCGAACATGTTGCCCCGACGGTTGCCGAAGAAGCTCCGAAAAGGTAATGATGAATTTTTATTTTTGCTTTTTCTTTTCCGAAATGGTTGAAATTTAATTGTTTTTATAAATGGTTGATTTTTAATTGTTTACCAAAGTTGAATCTGAGCCTCAATTTTTTCTTGAGATATTAACTTAATTTTTTTTAAAAAAATATTTATTTTTCTTTTGTCCATGATTCATATTTTTTGTCTTTTTTTTTTGTCAAGTGCAGATCTTGATGTTAATTGGGTACACACAAGTGGAAAAAGGAAAATTCATGAAATTAGAAAAAGTTAAAATGAGAGATATAGAAAAAGCTATCTCGGATTTGAAGCAAGCAATTGTGAAAAGGTTAGGATTTCAAGCTGCGGAATTTTAAGATACCTGTGTCTGTGTTTGGTTTAAGGGATGCCGAGGTGGGTATTTTGTTATTAAATTTTGTACACACAGTTGTTTTTATGTTGTTCTTATGTTGATTGATTGGTTTTATGTTGTTTTTATGTAGTTCTTATGTTGATTGATTGGTGTCATGTTTTTTTTTCGTTGTTGCTGTTAACAAAATTTTATTTTTTTAATTATTTTTTCTCTCATACATAGTTCGCATACATGATTGTCCACCTATTTTTTAAATAAATTTTCTATGTACAATTTTTTGATCTATTTTTTTCTCTCTCTTTAGTTATTCATGTTTGAAGAAGAAGAATGAAAGGAGAACGAAAAGGAAGAAGAAAGAGAAACGGGAAAAGAGAAGTAGGAGAGATAAAGAAGAAAGAGAACAAAAAATGAGGATGAGAGAGAGAGAAACTACTTATTAGTTTAATTTCTTATTTAATTGTTTGTAACTTCCATTGACAGTTATAATTAATTATGAAATATTATTTTGGAATGAAAAAGCGTAATTTCGAAATTCTCTCAATTGAGGTTTTATATGGAAATGGTTTGTAATAGTAGGTTACTTCCGTTTTTTTCCCAATAAATCTTGAAATGAAATATGAATGTGAACAAGAGAGACTTATTCTAGCATACATATTATTGTGATTTGGATATGATTTGACCCTGAAGATTTTCAACCCTCAATAATTTTTTGCTATACAAATATTATACTATTATTTTTTTTTTTCATTATTTTTTCTCATAAATTCCAATAACAAATCAATAGTACTTCCCGTTTAGTTTTGCATAATTGCATGTCATTATAAGTTAGATTATTTATTTATAATTCTTTGCTGTTTGAAACCATTATTCTAAGCTCTCTCTATATATATATATATATAAAAAAAAATATCCTAATTTTAATTTATCATAAATACTTTATTATCTTGAAAACATAAAGGACACTTTTCGGACAAAACGATAAATTCTATAATTGTAGAACTATATTTGCAATTTCCTTCCAAACATATGTAATCTATTATACAATATATATTTATTTTTAATAAAGATATATATTTTTATTAAAAACCTTATTTTAAAAATATGATATAGATAAAAGTATGAACATTTAAAATTTAATGAGTGGGATTTTAATCAAATATTGTAAAGTTAGATTTTATCCGATGATTAACATGTAATGTATGATATTCCTACCTTCAAGAGTAGATAGGTAACGTGAAGAGGACCCAATTTAATTTCTCACTTATGAAAATACAAATAATTTTGATTACTTTTTGGAACGTACAAAAGTCTGGCCCAATTTGTCTCTACTTTTTTTTTTTTTTTT